TCGACTTGGATCGCGGATCCCGCAGTGTCGCCTCCGGATCCGGCTGTGCCAGCGACTTGTGGAGGCGGCGTCGAGAAGGATCTCCGCCGGGCTTCGGATCGAGATTGGGATAGAGCCCGTCGCGTGTCTTCCTCCAAGGCATCCTCAGCGGCTCGAGCCTCCTCCGAATCCTCCGGACTTTCATCGTCGTCGTCGTCGTCATCGTCCTCATCGCCCAGAGTGAATGGGATACGGGCCGGAGGACGACGTACGCTTCAACGACGGCCGGATAGGAGGTCCTGAGCCGTAGTCGGATTCCTCATCGTCGTCGTCCTCGGAGCTGCCAAGTCCACATCCAGGGGGGATGACGCGTTTGGCCTTCCCCTTCCCGGGTCCAGTACGGGCCGGCGGAGGGCTGATGGAAGCGGGCTGGGGAACGGCGGACGTCATCACCGAAGGACCAGCGGTGGATCCCGTCTTGGACGCCGATCCCGGTTTGGATACGGCCGTAGATCCCGCCTTGGCAGTGGATCCAGCTTTGGATCCCAATTATCCCGCTTTGGACGTAGCAACGGATCCAGTCTTGGACGCCGTAGACCCAGTCTGGGGTCCAGACCCAGACTTGGACGTAGTTGCAGATCCAGTCTTGGACACCGAGGTAGATTTGGATCTAGCGGTGGATCCAGACTTGGATCCTGCACCCGACTTCGAGGGGGAAGCGGAAGTCTTGGACGCGGATGTGGACCCCGCCTTGGACGCAGAGGTGGATCCCGCTTGCGAAGCCGTTTTAGAGACCGGAGTCGTTTTGGGTTTGGCTTTCGGGGAAGCTCGAGCTTGCTTACGGGGACGGGGGGATCCGGTGCTAGGAGCGGGAGACGCACTACGCGGACATTTTGCAACTGATGGATCTGCTCCACCTACAGACGGGAGAGGAGCAGAGACGCTGGCAGCACGAGAAGGTCCCCGACAAGGGAGGAAGGGGATCCGACACGGCAGCTGTCACCAGCGCCAGTCGTCGACGAGCCAAATCCCGCTCCGATAAGCCACGATCGCGCTCCAGGACCAGCTGTTGCTGCTGAGTTTGGGCTGCAGCGAGTTGATCCCGGAGTTTCGCGGCGGTCGCATCGGCTTCTTTCAATTTGTCACCTGGATGGACACTAACGAGTGAATATGGGGCTACTAGCAAGGACTAAAAGAGGATCCACGTACTCGTGCGGCGAAGCTTGGATTCCAGCTCTGTTTGTGCACGCTTGGCAGCCGCCCACTCGGTAGCCGCCTTGTCCCGCTGGAGTTCGCTGTCCGCCAGTTTCGCTTGCATCTCGTCGCGTAATTGAGTTATACGCACGAACTCCGCGAGCGCGTACTCTCGTCCGGCAGACGCTTTCTCGAGCGACTCCTTGGTATCCTGTCAAAATCCTCACCCAAGAGTGTGAACCCAGATCTACTCTCGGCGAAGAGAGAGAGAGGTGAATATTGGGCCCGGGAAAATCCTCCCAGCGCCCACCCTAAGGCGGATCCGCCATGGGTGGATCCCACATAGTCGTTGGTCACCACCTCCTCTTGGGTCAGACGCAACTCGTCACGGAGCCGGTCCAAGCTCGCATCCGCAGCTGCCCCAGCAGTCTGGGAATCCTCCAGATCCCGCTCGAGGTCGTGGATCCGGGATTGGAGCTGGTGGATCTCAGATCCAGCGAGCGCCAACTCCCTAAGGAGATGGTCGTTGTCATCCCGCATGACATCTCGCTGACGGGAGGCGCGATCCAGCCGTCCGGTCAGGTCGCGGATCTCGACCGCCTGATCAGCCAACAAGAGTCGCAGGTCCTGCGACCGAAAGGCCGCACGGTGCTCCCACCCCTGGAATTCTCTCTAAACTCGCTTTCCGGGAAATCGCGCCTTCGCCCGAGTTTGGCAAAATTGGGTTGAGGTGTCAAGAAAACCCCCTTTGGTTTCTGGGGCCATCTTGGAACACTTCGCGAGATCTCGCCCCTCCTGAGTTTGGCACTTGATAGCGAAAGCCCTGGGATAAAACCCGCAGATCGGTGGGCGACATGGAAGACGGACTGACCGGAGGTGTGGTGGATAGGGCCTTGCCCGACGATTTGCCGGTACGCTTGGCGGGAGACATGTGTCACGAAGGGGAGAAAGCGGTTGTGGATGCTGGTAATGCACGCCGTGAACGCTGTTGTGCAGCGCCGACAACGTACAGGAGGCGATTGTTGAAGTGCTTTCTCAGAAATAAGAGAATGGGCCTGACGCGGGGTCACTATCCCGAATCAGTGACAATTTCAAGTGATTAGAGAGTATTTGGGTTGGCTGGCACGGATGCAAGTTGCCTGTGGTGGATTAGCCATGACGAGCAGCACCCCGTATGAAATGACGATGGATCTGGTATATACGAAGTACGAGAAGACAAGATCCACCAAGACTTACCTCGGATCCACCCTTACCTGGATTCACCAAGATGGATATGGGATATACTATATAAGAGTGGATCGGGTGTGGATCCTAAAAAGGAAGGATGGTCGGTGCCCTCTGAAGGTGGACCTAGTAGCCACGGCTAACGAGGAGTCAAGATCCACCGCGAGGTACCCCGGATCCCATACTTCCGAGTTCGGATCCAAGGAGGGAGGATCCCGCCTTGAGGGACCTGGATCCAGAGTATAGGGATGGTGGATGCAGTGGGTCTCGAACTTTCGTGGGACAATGGAGATCACATACGGTTGCGAGATGATGTTGGATGATTGGAGAGCTCAGATCCACGACGAGTGTACACTTACAGTGAAGTGGATCCAAGCGACCTGGATCCTGATGAGTGTACCCATAATAGGGTGACCATAATGATTACGCCATGGATCCGGTGGATCTGAAGATAATACAGCTGGGGTGATGGGTCAAGGGAAGAAGGGACATGCAGCCGAGCCTGGTAAGGGATTTAACGAGGGAAAGACATAGAAGGTAGAGATCCAGGCAGGTATAGGCTTAAGTATCAATACAGACTTCTATTTGCACGATAACACGCAAGTGCCTTCCTGCCCTCAAGAACCGGAACTACATTGGCCGTACGAGCTCGGAGAAGGTTGGGAATTGCGAATCTAGTGTTGGTAGTGATAACTGGATAATACATTGGCCAGTTCCTACAACCTAGTAAGCTTTCCCATACACGTGCAGATCCGACGGGTTAACCGAATTTACTACTTGGTCGGTTATACCCTAGAGGCTCTCAACTCTCAAGATCCCGTCACAGGAGGCGGCAAGTACGACGCAAAGGAACTACAAAGGCAAGGGAACACACCCGCAAGGCAACCCTACGGCCAGATCCACGATCTAGGCCCCGGATCCATAAGCTCGAATATTCGCTTAGGATTCGGAACCATCCACGGACGCAGAGTGAAGATTTTCCACTGCTGCTCCACCCCATCCCCACGTCTCGCCAAGACACTCAAGCTTCACCACTTGAACGCTTCGGAAGTTACCGAGAGAGCAGATCCCGCCCTACCGACGGGTACACAAGGTGAGGAAAGTTCAGCAGAACACGGATCATCGGGGAACCCCCTCCGTTAGTCGGTGTCTGGGCGCAGTTGGTAAGTTGGACCCAGCAATCTCGCAAATTTTGCTGATCCCGCTACACCACACTAACAGACGTGCGGTTAGCATGCATGTATCCCTGCGGTATGACCTGTTTACAGTACGTAATGTGCTTGGTCATAATGACTCATACATCAGAAGCGTAAGCACAATAAACTACCATCACGATGCAAAAGTACCGTGAAAGCAACAGCGACCACAGGTATATATTTTGGTTATCACGAGCACGTGGCATATACACTCATTGCCCACCTTGCGAGATATGCACGGACACATCAAATAGCACGCCGAGCCGATAAGTAGGCAGCAAAAGTACTTCATTGAATTTAGCTTTGCAAATAAGTCGGTAAGTAAGTAAATGGCGTTCATCCTGTCATACCAGTGTCAGAAGATGGATTTGCTATTAATGTCAATTCGATTAGTTAGAACAAGCTAGCGAACATCAAGTACACTCCCTTCAGTAGTGTCTGGTATTTATAAGAGCTCAGCGAGCCATATGGAGGGGAGGAATTGGTCATTTGGGGGATACTAGCGGTTATAAACCATACTATGCATGCGGAGATGATCAAACCTTGGTCTAGCTGACCGTCGCAAGCAGCAATATGGTCACGAATACCACTCGGCTAGGCAAAATAATACCTGTCGTCCAGTTTACCCTATGGCATGGGATCCCAATACGCGTTGATAGGCGTGTTACTATCGCTAAACTTATCTGGAATCTCCTCACCGAATGATGTTGAGATTGGACGCACAAATGATGATGACCCATATTCTGAATAACAGAGTGTGACTTTGCAACGAAGCGCACCTCAGCGTGGTGCCATTTGAGGAGCGAAGCGCTCAACCAAGAATTAAGACAACATCCTCCAGGGTAAGATGGTGTTCATCTTGCAGCTCACGTTAATCCCTGGAGGTAACGACAAATTGTTCCTTTTTGCAATGATTTACAGTCATTTCTACCTTTGCCATGATGATCAATA